CACACACACACACACACACACACACACACACACACACACACACACACACAAATCAACATAATAAAAACAACTAAAACTACAAGAGGCAGAGAAGAGTGGAAGACCAGAAAGAAGAAATAAAACCACAAAGGCAATGAATAGAAAACAGCATCAATTATAGCAGATATTAATCTAACAGTGTCAATAATCCTTTAAATACCAATGGCATAAATATACCACCTAAAACACACTGTCAGAATGATTCATAAGATGAACTCCATTGTACAAGACACTCACTCTAAGTTGAAAGGCATAAAGAGTAAATGTAAAGAGACCAAGGTAGATCGAAAGAAAGCTAAACAGCTACATTAATTTCAACCAGAGCAAACTTCAAAACAATGTATAGTATCAGACATAGCAAGGGGCATTTCATGATGGGCTCAAGGAGATGTACAATCCCTCGTGTGTGTGTGTGTGTGTGTTTGTGTGTTCGTATCCCAAAAACTGAGCATTGAGATGCAGGAGACAAGACATGGTAGTGCTCCAAAAAGAAACAGGAAGCCACCATTTGAGCTTCAACACCCTCCATAAGTGACAGACACCCAGGTGGCCGAAAAACCGGGAAGGAGATAGTTAAGTCACAAGCACTATCAATCAGCCGGATATGAAGGACACTGCTGGAATACCCCATCTAAGTGGAGCAGAACACGTGCGTCTCCAGCTCATGTGGGGTATTTGTCAAGAGAGTCCGCATTCTGCTGCTGTCATTCGGACCTAAACACATTAAAGAACAGAAACCATGAAGTGTGTGCTGTTAGTAGGCAGTGACATTAAAACAGAAATCAGTGACAGAAAAAGAGGAAAAATCCCCCGGACACCGGGAGATTAAGCACTCCATTTGGAAGCCATGCTCGTGTGTGATTCACACATGTAAATAAGGAAATATTTGTTCAAAAAGAAAATGCAGCTCACTAAAATTTGTTTGAGGCAACCAAAGCCGTCTCTTAAGAGAAATGTATAGCACTGGGGTGCATGTATTGGGAAAGAATAAAGGTCGCCGGGCAGTGGTGGCGCACGCCTTTAATCCCAGCACTCGGGAGGCAGAGCCAGGCGGATCTCTGTGAGTTCGAGGCCAGCCTGGGCTACCAAGTGAGTTCCAGGAAAGGCGCAAAGCTACACAGAGAAACCCTGTCTCGAAAAACCAAAAAAAAAAAAAAAAAAAGAATAAAGGTCTGAACTCAATATTCTAAACCTTCCCCTATGAAGTAAACAACAAAAAAAAAGGTAAATAAATCTAATAGAGATAAGAAATAATAAAAATTAAATAGTAAAAAGAACTTGGCAACAGGAACTCAGCAGGAAAAAAAAGTCAACTAAACCAAAAATTGGTTCCTTGGATCAATAAGAATCTGGCCTAGATGCCTAAGTAAAAATGAGAGGATTAATATCCATAAAATGACGTAGCTATGATCTTATGAACATTACAAGGACACTTTAGGAATATGTTTTTAGCAACTCTACCCACATATGTGATAACTAAGATGGAATCTACCAATTCTTTATAAGGCCCAAGTCTTCAGAACTCACAGTTTATCACTAAAGTAAAACTGTCTCAAACACTAGATGTGTAGCCCAGTGGTAGAGCATATGCTTAACCTCTGGGAAGCCTCGTGTTCAAGCCCCAGCAGCAAAATCAAAAGACAAAGGCAAAAAGACCAAAGAAACAAACAAAAAGAACCCATCAGACAAAAACTTCTAACGCAGATGCCATCAAGGCCAGGTGGATTCACTGGCTAATTCGGTTGAACATTTAAGCAAGAACTTGTATCATTTCTTCCATCATCCTACCCCTCATCCCTATCCCAGAAGACAGAAGCAGAATGTTTTCTTCCTCATTCTATGAGGTCAATGTCACTCCAGTAGAAACACAAGCAAGGTGTTACAAGGAATGGACTACCTAAGACCAAACCTCTCAAAATGATAGAATAAAAAGTCAAATCCAATAATGTCTAGAAGTAATTTTTTTACTATGATTAATTGGGACTTATTACGCTTTTACAAGGCTGATTCAATATTTAAAACCCAATTAATGCAGTCTGTCACGCCAGCAAGCTAAAAACAAATCGGATGGTCAGAGTTTGATGCAGAAAGTCTTTTACAAAATTCAATACCCACTCACCAAAGACGTGTAGAAAATTAGAAACGGAGTGGAACTTCCTCAACCTGAAGAAAAAGTTTCCGAACCTTGTGACATGCTGTAGGTAGCATCTTTCTGAGATGAGGAAGGCATCTGTATCCTCTCACTACACACTTTCAACATCCTATTGGAGGTTCTGGCCACCTCAACACAAAGACAAAGGCCAGGTATACGGGTATGAAATGGTTAAAACTCTCCTAGCTCATAGACTACAGAAGAGCAAGTACAAAATCCAAAAGAATCAATGAAAAGTATTGGAGCTGGTAAGTGACTGGAGCAAAACCGAAGGATAGAAATGCCCTTTGCTTGTTTCTGTTTATTTGTGTGTGTGTGGTGGGAGTGGGGGCTGGAGGGGAGGAAGGGAGCTATCTCAAGATGGATCTTAAGCCAGCATGTACTTGTCCCAGCCAGGGTGCAAAGGACAGAAGGTAACTTCCTGGAATTGGTTCTCTCCCTCCACCTTGTGGCTTCTAGGGATCATCCAGGTCCAAGGCTTTGCATAAGAGCATGCTTTAACCCCTGAGCCACTTCCCTGGCTTCCTGTTTTCTTGTAGACCAGCACTCAACAGTGAAGAGTTTTGATTTCCAAATATGCCACCATTTACAGCAGCATACCCCCAAATGAAATGCTTAGGCACAAATTTAACAAAATACCTTTAAGACGTATATGAGGATCCTCACTCCCAAATTAAAGAACTAAATGAATAAGAGTCTATGTTCATGGGTTTAAAAAAAAATCCATACTGTCAATATATTCTACATTGGTCTATAGATTCAATGTAGTCCACTGCACATTGCAGTAAGCACCAAGGCAACTCTTACTTTCTCTCACTCTGTATGTGTGTGTATGTGGTATGTATATGTATGTGTGTGTATGTATATGGTGTGTGTGTGTGTGTGTGTGTGTGTGTGTATGTGGTGTGTGTGTGTGTGTGTGTGTGTATCTGCATGTGAAAACCAGAGAACAATACATAAAACATTCAGTGTTGTTACTCAGGCACTGATCCCCCACCTCTTTCTTTCTTTCTTTCTTTCTTTCTTTCTTTCTTTCTTTCTTTCTTTCTTTCTTTCTTTCTTTCTTTCTTTCT